AATCAATTTAAGATTATTTGAAAATACATATTTATCTACATTCAAGTCCATGAGCCACACATATTTTCTCAAAATGCACGGATTACTGTGGATGCTGCTTGGCCCAGGCTTTATCTCACATTTTGTTAGTGTTTACACCTCGCCCTATATAGAGATTATTAGTTTCTTATACCTTATGTTCTAATTCAGCTGTGGGGTAGGAAGAATAGAGAGGAGAAGGAAACAAATCCTCCCCTTGGCACAGATCAGCACCATGGCTACTGCATACCACTGGAAAGGAGGGCTCTGCTCGGCATTAAGGCTAGAGGGACTGTATTCGTTCTTTATTGCTACCTAACAAATTACTAAAACGTAGTGGCTTGAAACAACATTTATTATCTCATGATTTCCATGGCCATGGGATCTGGGTGTGACTTGGTTGACTCCAGGTCCCTCACAAGGCTGTGGTCAAGGTGTTGACTCAACTGGGGTGCATCTGCTTCCAAGCACGACTGAGTTCCTCCTCACTGCCTGTTGGCTGGAGTTCTCCCTCAGTTCTGTCTCCTGCAGGCCTCTCCGTGAGTCAGTTCACAACATGGCAGTTGGCTTCATCAGAGGGAGCAGGTGAGAGAGGGTGCGCCCGGTGTCGGCAGACTGCCTTGAGGGAAGCAGTCATTCCCAAGCTTCTGGAATCCCTGGTGCTTACCTGCATTCCATGACTAGTGGATTAGGTGGGTGGAATTGGGTTGGTACAGAGGCCTGGTCAACTGGCTCTTTTGTCTTGTTTGGGAATTCTCGGGAAGGTCATTCTAACATAGTATTGACTGAGGCCTTTGTTTCAACTACCTTGAATTAGTTTATCTTCTCCCTTTGTCTAAGCTTGCATCCCTCACTCTTTGTTTTTGAGAGCACCTCCTGACAAACCTCAAATCTCTGCTTCAGAATCCATGTCCTGGGGAACTGCCCCAGCGTAAGTGCTATGCATCATGTAACTCCGCACAGTAAGGTAGAAGGCTATGCGTTGGGTAACTCCGCACGGCAAGGTAGAAGGCTATGCATCGTGTAACTCAGCACGGTAAGGTAGAAGGCTGCCCGCCTTACCTCGTTGCAGATGTGGGGCATGAGTCCATAGTAATTTCTCACACATTTGCAAAGGCACTGTCCTCTTGGGGAAGGAGGGAACACATAGAATACGACAGATACATTATACTGGCCTGTAAAGAGCTGTTTGTCTAGCCAGGTAGACCAAGCATAAAATAAAGTAAGGTTAAACCACATTAAAAACTTCAGTGGAGGCCAGGGGCAGTGGCTCATGCCTGTAATCCCAGCACTTTTGGAGGCCGAGGTGGGTGTGTGGGAGTTTGAGACCAACATGGCAAAACCGCTTTCTACTAAAAATAGAAAAAAAATTAGCCGGGATGGTGGTGCGCGACTGTAATCCCAGCTACTCGGGAGGCTGAGGCAGGAGAATCACTTCAACCTGGGAGGCGGAGATTGCACCACTGCACTCCAGCCCGGGTGACAGAGGGCAACTCTGTCTCCAAAAAAACAAAAAAAGGCTTCAGTAGGATTAGAAGCAGACCATGACTCAATTTTGGGTGTTAGAAGTAGGGCTGCTGGTGACATTGCAAGTCTCCAGAGTAGGGATGAAGATCTGTTTGGTGTAGAAAGAGCAGTACTTACCAGGGTCAAGGACAACAGCTTGGAGACTGCACATTTAGGGGACAGGAGGAAGAGACAGAGACTGGCTTGGTAACACGCAGGAGAGTTAGGAGAGTGAGTTCTCACAGAGAGCTCGGAAAGGAAGTTGGTGTTAGAGCTGCTCACCAATCCCATGGTAGAAGAAGAGGAGCAGCACGGCCCCAGTGTGGGGGAAGAAGTCAGTGGATTGGTGATGGGTCAAGAGTACACTGGGTGACTGTGTAGGGTGATTTGGAACTTTTGGAAGCATTTTTTGTGAAGGGTAATGGGGAAAATTTCATTGGTATTGGCTGTTTTCACTTACGAGATCATTGAAACACTTAAGATCATTGAAATACTTGCCTGTGATTGAAGAATTACTTTTATTTTTGTCATTAACATCAAAAAGTGGCTTCTATTTGGGAGCACGTTGGTCTGTTTTATATATCTTTTTAGATCTTTTTAGAAGATTAGGTTTTGTAGCCATATGGAAAATTAAGAACTTGACTCTAGTTTTAGCAATATTAATAAATGGAATAAGACACTCAGGTTCTTTGGTGGTAAAACCATCTCCAGATTTTTAGGTTAAAAAGCAGGCATAATTATGAGAACATTTGAGGCAAATGACCAGTGCAATTGATATAATTTCAATTAATATTGAAACATAAATTCTATGAGGTGGATATGCTTGAAATGTAAATGACTGTTTCAAGTCAGCCCCATTTATTTGCAGTGCTGTGCTGGTAATTCAGTTTTCACGTTTACCTTTCTGGAGAAAAGAATGACAAAACCTGCCTTTTTGGTGCTGAGGCCTTGTCTCTTTAGAGTTTAGTGTAAGTTTTATTAAAAGGGAAGAGGGATGGATTTCCCTTTTCCCCTGCTGAAAAGGGTAATGCTATCTAAAACTGGAACTGTGCTATTAAAAGGCTAGGTCACCTGACTTTGTGTGTTTTAAGATGGGAGTCTTGCTCTGTTGCCTAGGCTGGAGTGCAGTGGCGTCCTCCCCTGCCCTGTTCTGCTCCTTTTTTGAGACAAGGTCTCACTCTCACTGTCACGCAGGCTTCAGTGCAGTGGTACACTCATGTCTCAGTGCAGCCTTGAACTCTGAGCTCCAAGTGATCCTCCCACCTCAGCCTCCCGAGTAGCTGGGACTGCAGGCATGTGTCACCATGGCTGGCTAATTATATTACTTATTGTAGAGACAAGGGTCTCCTGTTGCCCAGGCTGGTCTTGAACTCCTGGTGTCTAACAGTCTTCCCACCTTGGCCTCCCAAAGCGCTGAGACTACAGGCAGGAGCCTCTGTGCCTGGCCATCTCTTGAGTTTCAGTGTATGTCTTTTGATTTTCTAATAAAAATATGTATGTGCATATGTGTATCTGGTGAAGGTGATATATTTGTTATTTAGTACATTTCATGCTTTGCTAAGGGCCATTTACATTGATTGGTACATGTATTTTGGAAAGACATTTAGCAGTCGTTCTACCTCTCAGGATCTTGCAGGGAGGTCGTCTAAACAGCTTTCTTTCTCCCCACAACAGAGCTTTTGCTATGGTTGCATTTGAGTGATTGTAAAATTGATAAATTTGGCCGGGCGCGGTGGCTCACGCCTCTAATTCCAGCACTTTAGGAGGCCGAGGTGGGCAGATCACGAGGTCAGGAGATCGAGACCATCCTGGCTAACAGGATGAAACCCCATCTTTACTAAAAATACAAAATACTAGCCAGGCATGGTGGTGCACAGTGGCAGGCGCCTGTAGTCCCAGCTACTTGGGAGGCTGAGGCAGGAGAATGGCGCGAACCCGGGAGGCAGAGCTTGCAGTGAGCTGAGATCTCGCCACTGCACTCCAGCCTGGGTGACAGAGCAAGACTCTGTCTCAAAAGAAAAAAAAAAAAGATTGATAAATTCATGTTGGGCTTCAGGAAGCACGCTGAATTTTGAACATGTCTGGTGTGAGTTAAAATTTGCCATAACTCTTAAGTATATTTGGCTTCTCTGTGAGGAATTTAAAATTATATCCCTTGATTTCTTAGTCATCTTCTGTTTGAATTCTTTTGCCCAAAATTGTGCATGGCAATAGATTCAGAGTTTCTGAGTTCTTTGGAACACTTGACTTAAAGATGTAATCCTAATAGGTGTTTCCTTTTCTGCTGTCCTTGGCGCCCCCACCCACCCCCCTTTCAAAGCACACATTAATATAATAAAGACTCTGAAAAGTGAGACTTTTAAAGCTTTAACCACTGGGTTCAGTAGCACATGGCTGTAATCCCAATGCTTTGGGAGGCCGAGGTGGCAGCGTTGCTTGAGCCTGTGGTTCAAGACCAGCCTGGGTGACGTGGTGAGATCCTGTTTCTACAAAAAAATTTAAAAATCAGCTGGGCATGGTGGTGTGCACCTGTGGTCCCAGCTATTTGGGAGGCTGAGGTGTGAAGATCACTTGAGCGCGGAGGCTGTGGTGAGCCGTGTTCATGCCATTACACTCCAGCATGAGGGACAGAGTGGGACCCTGTCTCAAATAAATAACAAACAAAAACTTCAGCCTAGTGTTTTTCTAACTTTTTGAACAGGAAAGCCATTTATTGGCTATGTGAACTTATCTCACCTTTAGACGGGGAGACTCCTTCATAATGGTGATGTGAGCATTCAGAAAATGAGTTTGTAAAGCACTTAGCATGCTGCTGGGCATGTAAGACTTGATGAGATGGTCCTGCGTTTTACGTATATGTGTTCTTGACTTACAGTCTAATTTGACGATACGAGGCCAACAGATTGAAAACAGAAACTGTAATTGGGATGGAGGGTCATTTGTGGCAGGCTTTGTGGAGAAAATGGGTTTGAAGGGAGCTATAGTGAGGTGGATAGAATTTAGCAAGTTGGGAAGTGTGGCAGTCTTAAGCTGTTTCTCTGAATATCCTCAAATGTTTAAATCACTTGACTTTTAAATCCTCTCTTATGGATTCTAGATTTAATATAAGTTGAAAGATATTTGAAGTATTGAAAAATCTAAATTAGTGCTGTCCATTAGAACTTTCTGTGATGATAAAGACATAGCTGTGCCGTTCAGCTTGCCAGTCACTAGCCACATGTGACTGTTGAGCACGTAAAATGTGGTTAACATGACTGAGGAACTACATTGTAAATTGTACTTAATGTCAGTTAATTTACATGTAAGATTGAATAGACCCTCGTGGCTGTGAGCTACCATAATAGACAGAGACAAAGTGAGCTCAGAATGAAATAAGGATTTGTTGCCCAATAAATCTAATACGGAGAAAACCTACTTACAGTTAATTCTTTTGTAATTGATAAATTGACTATATAATGTTGTTTTTGTTGTTGTAGGTCTCCAATTGAGAAACATGGCACTGTTTTTCCTGCACTCTACCCACCTATTGCTGGACTTCTGTTGTACAAGTTGGCAAACACTGGCTGGAACTGGGCTGCAATAAAACATGCCAGTTATCAATGCTGACAAGAGCCTAACAAGTGCCAACTTACAGATGATTACGCATTTGGAATTCTAATGAACTGTTTTAACCTTCAGGAAGAATTGTAAAGACCTGTACATAGCACAACATGATCCGGATAATATATATACTGTTCATGTACATCCACAAATACACCTTGTACCAAATAATGCTTTCTTGTAGTAGAATAAGAATCGTGTAAATTCTAAAAGATTTTAGCAGGTTTTCTTTCCTATTCATTGTTTCTTATCAGTTTAAAAGGATTCCTTTAAGCATGTCAGATGAAAAGCAATTAGGATTAAAAGTTTCCATTTAATTTCCCTTAAACCATTGAGGCTTCATTAAACTCTTTTCACTTACTAAACTTTTGTATCTTCTTTGTTTTGACACACTCCCCTTTGCTTTATCTCTTATCTGCCAGAATGTTCTCAAATGATTTAGTTCCAATACTGAAATACTTAATGAGCAATTACTTGATTTTTAATGATGACTTCGAAGGAGTCATCACTAGGTGCTTTGTCCTTTTTATATTCTAGTTGCACCCACCTCTTGGATTGGATATAGCAATAACATTTATTGGCTGTTGTGAGCTCTTGATCCCAGTCATTACCCCCCAAGAACTACAAATAGATGGTTCTTAATTCAACTTACGGAAAATTTCCCCCAAACAATAGCAAATCTGACTTTTCCCCCTTCAGTTGCCCAGTATTAAGGTTGGATAAATGAAGCATGCACAGCTACAGGCTTTCTACCTAACTTCTGGGTTTGCTATTACAAATACTATTTACTCTCATACCCTTCTCCTTAGTCCTTCATATTTCTTTGCCTCTATTCTTCTATACTGCAGATTTTTCTCACCTATTGTACAAAGAAATTGCGATGTATATTTTCATGTAATTTGATTTTGGAATTCTGTCACCTTATGTAGTGAGTTCTTCCAAAATATAATTTTTTTTCAATAATTGTCAAGTTGTTGGCTTTTATTGTATTGAATGAAGGCTATAATACTGAATGCCAGAGAAGTGGTTTAGGAAAATCTCAGGTTGATTCCTTATGCAAATGAACTTTTAATACTTGAAAATCACATGGCCATGGCAGTATATGTATTTGGTTCTATCTAGACTCTCATGTGAATCTAAAAGCATTACAGGGGTAAACACTTTGCTATTTGACGTATCCCATCACTAACAATAGTACACTTGGATTTGATTAATGTTTGAGCTTAAATATATTTCATATCATACCGTTTTCTGAAACAACTTAAGCAATTGGTAAAATGAACATGTGCAGTGTTAAAGGCAGGCCCTAGGCTCCTTTATGTTGATTGTGAGGTTGTGTGTGGGAAGTAGTCTTTGGCTTATAAGGGATAGAACTTGAAACAGTAGCAGATGGGACATGGTGTTTGATTGTGAGAATCAGTGAGAATTCGTGCATCTCTGCTCTGTGGGGTTTGCAGAAATGCTTTGGCAGAAGAGTGAAGGAACTGCTGCCAAGAGCCCAGACCTCTACAAACGTTGTATGTCCTTTTCTAAGCGGAAATAAAATGGTTGAGGATGTCGTCACAGTAGAGAGTGATTTTTTTCTAAACCCCTGTCTGTTCTCTACTCCGAAGCATTATAAAAACCCGTAAACATTATACAAACCCACAAACCTTATAAAAACCCGTAAATGTGTTGTGACTGGAAATTGATTCATTGGAAACCAGTGTTCTTCAAGAACTCTGTGAGTTGGTTTTTTTCCAAAGACTCTGTAAAAATAGTTGCCCCAAAATGTCAGCACTGTACACCCTCAAGGGACTTGGAATGCAATCCTTTTTCCCTTTTTTTTTTTTTTTTAAAGAAACTGGGTCTCTCTGTCACCCAGGCTGGAGTGCAGTGGCAACGATCATAGCTAACTGCAGCTTTGACCTCCTGGGCTCAAGTGATCCTCCTGCCTCAGCCTCCTGAGTAGCTAGGACTGTAGGTGTGTGCCACCATGCCTGGCTAATTAAAAAAAAATTTTTTTAAGAGATGGGATCCCTCCCTTTTTACTCTTAAATCAGAAATTGTTCACATGGTGGTTGCTTGTGGCAAAGTGGAGTTAGAATTTTGCTCTCCTATTGCTGTAATTCTGCTAGCAATCTATTGAGGTGAAACTTGGGATCTGACTCTTCAGCAAGCAGCAAATGACCTAGTAACTCAGGGACAACTATTTTTGAACTTTAAGTGCCACTTTAATGCAGTTACTTTGATAAAACCATGTGTTTTTTTTTTTTTTTTTTTTTTGGGGCTTGCTCTATGTGAGTGGCAGTAGGAGCCATGAATTAGTGCATCTTTCTTCACGTGCTTTTCCACCTAGTGCCCTGACTCT